AAAATGTTGCATATTTTTCCCATCTTCAATATTAAAGAGGCTATACAAAAATTTACCAATTTGGTTAAGTTTTTTTTTTTTAATGCACACTGAAATAACTTTTAGGATACAATCTAACAAAATTGTTCCCAACCATCTTACAGAAAACTGAACAAAAGCTTTTTGATCAACCCAATACAACTCTGACCAATAAATGGAGCCTCAAACTTGAGCCCCATTGGCTTTGACATACGTTTTATTCATGGAAAATAAGTCACTCTAAAAACGAAGTTACCCACATTAACCCCAAATTTCTTGAATTCCTGAAGCTCACAGGCAATTGTTGTAAGACACTGCTCAAATTCTTATATCCACAGTTAGCACTGCAGCATCTATCAGAAACTGGGCATTTCACGGTACGGGAAAGACAACCCCCACTGGTCACCTGGACATCTCTCCTTCCAATTCTATCATGATGACTCCTGCCACCTCCCAGTGAAGCCAACGATACCTTTTCCTCCCATTTTTGCTTCTCAATTCTCTCTACATCTGTTCCAAAAGTTAACTTTATCCATTTGGTTTTGCACTTTGAGTTTGTTCATCAAAAGGTAAATGGTGATGATTTTCCATTGCTGTATCCTTATTAAGGGTTGTTCATGCACGACAACATAAAGGCAGGAACACAGCATCTGGCTGGGTCTAACCTCAAACACTGGCTTCCATGTAACCACTAGAGAAGACAAAGGAGGAAGTGACCCGCTGTTTGGAGCAGTTGCTCCTCATAGGGCGCTTGGCCAACTGGACCCACAGGTCTGCTCCGGACACTTAGAGAAACAAGGCAGACAAAACTGTAGTTCAGGATGTTAGGACCACATGCTGGGTGAAGGCTGCCCACTAGTCTTATCCCCACAAAAATCTTGCAAGCTACAGGATACTATCTCTCTCAAGACAGGACACTGACAGAGGTGAACTGGCCAGGCAAGGTGTCACAGAGCCAGAAAGTTGAAGCACCAAGTGTCCTACTCAAATCCTTCTGATCCTGGGCCCAACAAGCATTGTTCCAGGTTACATATTACAAATAAATGTTCCTAGAAAGATGAGCACAAGAACACCATAAAGTTGGGCAGCAGAGACTTGTTTAGAAACAGATACACAACTATGCAACTGCTATCTTTAAAAAAGAGAACTGCACTCTACTACTTACTCTTTAATGAAAACCTAACCATTTTTCTTGAGGGGGCGGGGAAACCTGGCTGAGAAGAAGGACCAGGAGACCTCCTGGGGTCACACAACCACCTGCAGAGAGCATTTCACTACATACAAATCACCCCTCAATTCAGAAAGAAAATCTGTGTGTGCATGCATATATATGCGCATCTAAATCTATATATGATATCAACTAATTATGTCATGTAAACCAGATAAAAAGACAGGTGGAATCCCAAATTCAGCTTGAATTAATTACTTAGGATAAGAGCAGGAAGAAGAGAGCTCTTAGTCCCAAACTCCCCAAAACAGTGGGCAGTGATCTCAAAGGGCCCTTCAGCCAATTTTTCTCTGCCTTCACGTAGCCATTAACTATTCCACAAATAAACTGTTAAATCATTTTGCTATCGATTTTAAGCACTTTTAACAATTCTAGATTTTTTTAAAAATCTTTGAGAGATGCTGCTTAAATTGTGGAGAGTACCCTGATATATATATATCTCAGTATCATCAGCCCTGGCTGAGTACCTCAGTTGGCTAGAGCATCATCCTCACACACCAAGGTTGTGGGTTCAATCCCTAGTCAGGGCACATGCAAAAAGCAACCAATGAATGCATAAAGAAGTGCAACAATGAATCAATGTTCCTTTCTCTCTCTGTCTCCCTTCCTCTCTCTAAAAAATTCAAGGTCTCAAGTGAGTACATTCCCTTTGCACAATGAATTTGTTTCTAAAGCACATGTGAGCTACGTCAAAATAAATAAACCCTGTGCCTATGAATATCTCTGCATTATTAAAAACTCTATTGTTACAAGTACATAACATGCTTAGTAGTCTAAGAGCTTATGAAAAGCAAAATTCAAAGATCAAGGCTGCACTTACTATTCTGTTGATTATCAATTTGCTATTAAGTATAAGTTGTTTTTTAAAATGTTAAATAAAAACATTTCAATAATTTCTCCAAGTTATCAACTATCTAAGGAACTCATTTTTCTTACATACCAGTAATAATAGAAAGTTAAGGCAGGTACTATGGTGAAAAAGATTTAAAATTCACTTTTTCTGTCGGAAGAACAACTTTTCTATGCTGGTGAGAAATGGGCACCATTAATTTACTCAACAAAAATGGAAAAAATACATCCTCTCTCTTCCTCTTAAAAGAGCATCCATAGTTGGAAGACACAAGCTAAATTTGCCTAGAAGCTTGGCGTCCTTGGGAATACTTAACTTTCTCCAGGTTTGCTAAAGAGAAATATCTTTAGCCCTGTCAAGCAAGCAGTGAGCTCCTTGATTGTACCTTAAAGGGAATGAGAATGTTTCGGCTCATTTGCATTTTAAAGGGTACTCTTTCATGATCTTTCACACTTGTAATAGATGTCTAAACCGTTAAATTACTATTTCTTTTCTTAGCCTGAAAGTCGATGCAGATGAAGAGCGTGGCCTCTCCCATTGTTCTTCACCCTAAATCGGTCCCTGAACAATACTGACAGCTGCTATCAAACCGGGCTGCATTTACTCTGCGCGCAGCTGCTGCTTGTAGGAACAGACAGCCTCCTGGAACCTCCTCCTCTCTGGGGAGACAGGTTGACACACTGCATGTTCAATGAAAGGGTTCAAAGGTCCACTGAATTGTCAACCCAATTTTATGCTACTTCGATTTTCCAGGACGCACGCAATTCCTTTCAAGCAAAAATCAAGCATATGCCAGTGCGTGAAACTCGTGGTGTGGGATAATTATTGACCACCACGAACTTTAAAAGTGCCTGACACAAATTAATATACTGATTCAAAAATTACAATGATAAAAATGGCACATGCCAGTACGCTGAAGACGTGCAACTGGCATTGAGTCTAGTGCTGGGCCCAGTTCACTGATTTGGGTTATTGTTGCTAGCTAGCAGAGCTAATCTGCCTTTCTAATCTCCACAACATGTTTCCTGGACTAAAGCCATTCATAAAATTAGCAATTCATCTGCCCTTCTAAAACTACCTGCTATTTTTGTTTTCTGATTCTGCTCAAAATGAATATTACCTATCGACATCTGGTTAATACAATTTCCTCCTTTCTAAAATGTGTCTGACTGGGCAGTGCCTCTGAGAATTAAAAATAAACCTTTTGCCATCAAGAAACAATATGTAAAAATTTAGAACCTATTGGAAAACAAACATGTTCCACAAAGTTTAGCTGGGCACTTGAGAACTGCTTTGCATATGTTTTCTTTTAATCAAAACAGGCTTTTCCAACCTCATTCATTAGGGTTAAAAAATTCTGTGCTCAAGCTACAAGTACAATTTGCTATTAGTCTTTGCTAATCAAACACGGTACATGCAGAAGTACCAGTGAATACTTGATTTGATCTCTGAAATAAAGCAATTCATTACACGAGAAAAGGGTACAGAAGGCAGCAGACAAATGCAGATGTAATTGTGTTTTTTGTTGAATGTGATTAGACAGCCCACTAAGTAACAGTCAAAAATGTGATACTAAAGGGGGAGAAATGCAGAGCCTGGACCTGGGGGGGGAGTAGGGAAAGGGGAGAATTGTTTATGCAGAGCTAAGCTGTCAAGTGTAATAAAGCAGCTTGAATAAAATTTAAGCTGAAAATCCACTGAAGCTCCCCATTTCAGGGAGGAAAAAGCTATTAAAAGGAAATGAAGGTCACCCTCCCAGTTTATTTCACCTAATTGACTGCCAATAGCTTACCACGGGCAACCCGACTGCAGATCTGGAATCGAGAAACCGATGAAAGGAGAGTTTTCAAGCTGAGGCTCATTCTTTAATCCTCCTTGGCTCTTATGTTTTTTCTCCATCTCCAGTTGGGATGTAATTTTAAACCCTGATGGATTAACTGGTTCCATTGTCTGTGGTCGTCATTGGACTATAGCACTCTTAATCCGTACAGCAGCATGTCTAATTATCATTACAAAGTGTCTGAGAGAACTATAAAGACCAGCAGGGCATCTTCTCACAAGCAATTAACATAAATTGATAAATGAGTGATTTGAATCTGCTCAAGGCACTCACATATGAATAAAATCACAAAGGACTGCCCCTTGTTTCAGCTACTTTCACTTAGTCTGGAAAGGCAGAAAACCTGAGAACCATCCTGGATACTAAAGAGAGGGGGCGGAGGTGAACTCATGCAGGGGATGGACCACAGGGTTCACCAGGCTCATTAATGCTGCGCAAATGACTTGTGATTGACAACCAGTCAACAGCGAGAGGAACGCTAAATGAACCAACATCGGAGAGCAGAAACCTGGTGAAAGGCTAGAGGGCACTAGGGCAGACAATTATCACTTCTTCAACTTCAGGACAGAGTTCTTTTCATTGGGGTGCCACTTAAAACTTCATCAAAGAGGCACAAGATAGAAAGACCAAATAGTTATATATGTTCCAATACCCTAGGAAAGCAGGAGGCAAAAGCAAAAATAGCAAAATGAAATGGTCATTATGAGATATGCCTTGACCTCACTGTGATCTCAAGTTATAGAACAAAATAAGGAAGAGTTTAAAAATCTAATTAAAAGTTTTTTTTAAACCTGGCTATTGGAGCAAAGATGGTTAAGTGTCACAGAATAAACGATATTTATTTTCCCATTAAAATGCAGATTGACTTTTCTTCTCCTTCTATAAATGTTTCTTCTATCGGCTCCCTTATGCTAATCTCTCTTCCCCTAACACCTCAGCCATAACTGAAGCCCCTCTCACTCCCACCCACCCTTAGCAAATGGGTGAATGTTAAGCTATACAATATTTTAGATATACAGATTAAGCCATCAAATTAGTAAGAAATGAAAGCTGGTTATACACACTGTAGGAGGTAGACCTGGTAGGCCACGTACCCCGATGATGGCATTCAACTCTGCCATGGTCACCTGTTTGGCACGTTCGACAGCCTGCGCCACCTGTTGTTGGTGCTTTGAAAACAATAAGAGGAAAGTATTAGCAAGGCACTGTACCTTCCAATGATAACAAGAAGACAAACGCCACATGCAATGCATATTGTAGCATATAGATTTTATATGCAAAGTTTCTCCAGCACACATTTCACACATGTAGAAAAGGGAAAGAAAAACAGAACAGTACTTCCCTTGTTTCTAACTAACACCAGTCACTACTAAACTTCTGATGGAAAAATTACACTTGGAACAGTAGAAAGTCAAAAAGGGCATCTAAAATGGTAACCTGAAGCTTCGGAAAATAAACAGTATGGAATGTGGAAGATCACCCTGGTTTGCAGAAGGGGTTCTGAAAGTTTGGGCAGGTAAACTTTACAACCATTTTATAATGCCCATTTCGATACTTAAAATTTAAACGTTAAATCTTCTATCCCTTCGCTGGGCAAACAAATCTTAGCCCACAAGTAGTTTTTGCAAACTCTGGGAAATCCTCTCTGTTAGCCTTTAGATATTTCACCCCCACACAAAGGAAAGGAAGACATCCACTCTTAGTCCACAGGCTGGAAACACTCTGCACACCTCCAACTTTCACCGTTAAAGAAAAGAAAGGAGGCATGAGACAGACTACAGCAGAGACCAGGATTACTAAAGTCTAACAAACAACACGATTCAAAAGGCCAACAAATCTAAACTGTAACATCAAGTAAAAGTTATGCTGAATGAGGCTGCTATAATAGCAAAGATGGTGCTACGTAGCACAGAGCAGTAGATGTCAATAACACTCAGTACTTCAGCTCCAAGTACAGTAAGTTTTTCACTGTGATGACTCAAGACAGACAGACAGACAGACACACACACACACACACACACACACACACACACACACACTTAAAAACAGTTTAGCATTTATGAGCTTGTATCCAAAAGCAAGGTAAAATTTAAAGCCAGAACTAAAATATACTGGGGTTTTGAGTCAATCTCATAGATTACTGATATATAAAACTTTTCCCTCTTGAAATATTAAAGTTAAACTTCAGGGGCTTTGTAAATTAATAAAACTGATTATGTATGTACATAACTCCGTTAAGATAACATGAACACTTAGTCCATCCGTAAGAGTGTTAGCATCCTCTCCCTCCACAGACAGCACTAGATCAACATTACACGAGAATAAATAAAAACCTGCTTCCATGGTCAAGTCAACCCTGGTGGAACCATTTTTAAAACTCACTATAATAAAAGCTCTCTAGAGAAAAGGACACTTGGAATCATCAGTAGCTATTAAGCTTATACTCCTCCTCAAAGGAAAAAAAGCTTTAAGTTTGATATAGTCATTTTGAGGTTGAGCTACTGCCACCATTTCTACAGTGTGCCCTTTGATCTGTTAGATGGAATAGCAGGGGGTTTACACACCACAGCTGTAACAGATGTTCTTCACACTTGTTCCTTGTGATAAAATTAACATCTTAAAACTAGCTAATTTGCAAACAGAGAAGCAACATAATTGCACTTTAACAGCTGAACAGTTTTACTTACTTCCTGAGACAGAAATGGGATGACTTGTGCACAAATCGTATTCAATCTCTTGGCGATTTCAGTCTATAAAGAACAAAGCCATATAAATGTTTAGTATACACTCCATAATCAGTTCAGAAAGATAAAACTTCATACCCAACACTTGAGCCTTCCACTGCCTCACACTTGAGGGCATGAAATTGCTTTCCCAGGCTACCTTACTAATATTTATCTTGAGATAAACAGTAGATATTAATCCCACTTGCAAAGTAAGACATAACTGCACGCTTTAGTGGTCACTTAAATAAGAGATAATGAGCAGTTTAATTGAATTGGAAAATCTACGTGGTTTAAGGCTATATAATCATTTAACCTGGTGATTGCAAACCCCTTCAAAGACTTATTCAATTATGGCATTCCATGGTACATTTATGTAGTTAGAGCAAGTTCATTCAAATGGGTGTCAGAAACCAGGGGAGCAGGAGCCCCATCAAAGCAGTATAGCCTTCAAGGTACAGTCTAGAAGGAGTCCATAAGAAAGACAGCATGGACCTCTTTCCACCTGTCCCTGCTCTAAACAAGCCAAGAAAATAACGCTAAAACATAACTCAAACAGAGACAGTCAACTCAAGATGTTCTAAGTATCTGTAAAGTTTCACCACAATTCAGCATCAAATGTGAAGACCTCAGTGACAGGGCCCACGTGTCAGCTGAACATATAACAAAACATGTCCTGAGTGTCCGCAGCTTGGGTTGTTCTAAAGAAAGCAGGAAATGTCTCTGCTCAGCTCCAAATCCACAAGATCCTTCTGATACAAGGAACAAACTGGCAAGGGAGAGAAAAAAAGGTACCTGCTTCCAGCACAGGGTAGGATCCCTTCTCCAACAACCTCCAAAAAGGCAAAACAGCTCTGCCTTTCTCTAACTCTGAAGAACCAGTTCAGCCCTCAAAACAAAACAAAACAAAAAAAATTCATCTGAAAAGAGTGTCAGCACTGACCTAATTTATTTCATTGTTTTCTGTCAATGGTAGTGAAGTTGGTAACGAAAAGGATCACAAACCACAGAAAATTATGAAGCACACAGCCATGCCTGTGAGAAACAGAGAATAAAGCAGAATCCTCAGAAACCATATATTTAAGTATATAAAAAGAGAGCTGCCTTTGGTCCTCTAAGATGATTGCATTTAACTGAGCAACAAGGCCTTTGGTTTGATGGGATTGGATTTGGGCCAACCCAACTCAATTCTCCCCTACCACCAGAGATAGGGTTCCAGCCTGGAAGAAATGTAGTACTAGAAAGGGAAATGACTGGTATAGAGAGCCAACTCATGACCTTGCTTTAACCAGCAGGGCAAACATATATGGAAAAGGATGCAGCTGTACCAGGTGCAAAAACAGAACTGGGCAGCCCCACCCAATTCAACTGACTGTAGCCACTCACTCAACCTAACTCAAGGTCATAGCTCTCCTTTAAAGCACCAGCAGGCTTCCTTTTCCTTTGCAACAGGGTTTGGCACTAGATATTTGGTTCCAAGAGGGCAAACCCAAAAGAATTATCTTCTGGAAGGAGGGCTCCTTGTAGAACAGGTTTCCCCCACTAGGTGAATGTTCTAAGAATCCATCTGCGTCAGTGTACCAGCTGGTGTGCTATGAGAGGCTGCATTCGAATTCACAGATTTTTTTGAAGGCTCTCAAGGCACTTGCCCATTTCATGATGAATGATTTACCAGCACACCTACCCCCACCATGCTGAGTATTCAGCAATTTTTGACCAAAAAACAGTGTGACCCTCTGTGCCCCACCCTGCCTATTCATCCGATCTTGTCCCGAATGACTTTTGTTTCCCAGAATAAAGGGCTTCAAAGGGAAACATTTTGCTGATGTTGAAAAGGTGAAACAAAAAAACATCAGAAGCACTAAAAAGCTCAAAATGAACAAGTTCAAAAACTGTTTCGAGCAGTGGGAAAAAAAAGTCTCACAGACAATTATTTTACAAATAAATTCTAGGGAGGGGGGATTTGATCGCCCCTTATGTAAGGGAGTAGGGATCCCCTTCGTGAACTCTTAGACCCTTGTCCTCCAACTCTACCTACCATACATCCCAACTACATTCTTTTTTTTGTTGTTGTTAAGATTTTATTTATTTATTTTTAGAGAGAGTGGAAGGGATGAAGAAAGGGAGGGAACCTCCACGTGTGGTTGCCTCTCGAGTGCCCCCCACTGGGGACCTGGCCCACAACCCAGGCATGGGCCCTGCCTAGGAACTGAACTGGTGACCCTTTGGTTCACAGGCCGGCACTCAATCCACTGAGCCATATCAGCCAGGGCCCCAACAACATTCTACACTTTCCCTTTTTCCAAAATTCAAACTTATGGTTCCCAATCTTAAAAATGATTAATGCTCACTTTAAGCAGACATCTAAATCTATCATCAAAGGATAACCTTGAGCAACATTTTGGTGATTCTGAGAAGCATCATTTGAGCACTCACAAACTGAGAGTAGAGAGAATACTTTTGTACCAAGAGGCCCCATGACACACACTGCCTTCCTATAATTTTTTTATTTCCACTAAAATATGTCTCATGGATACCCTCAAAATCAATAAATGATATGAATGAGGACATCCTCAATGTATTCCACAATACAAGCCTACTGGTGTTTAAGCACCCCAGATATTTATGTTTCATCTACTTCTCCACACTTACAAATTCTATGTCAAATAACCCTCCACACAGATCTCTAAAAGAAACTCCTAGGAGAGAAACTGCCAGGTCAAAGTGTATGCATATTTTAAATTGAAATGCATGCTGATAAACTGCCAGCAGTAAAGCTTACCAATTTATATTATCACCAGTCTATAAGGGTGTATGCTCTCTCACAGTGTCAATATTGGGTTTTGCTGACCTTTTAAAAAATCTTTATCCATCTAATAGATTTAAAAAAATAACCTCACTGTTATTTACATCACTCAGATTCTTCCGAAAACTAAACCTTTTCATATACTTATTGGCCCACTGTATTTTTTCCTATGTTTTTCCTTTAGTATTTACGCATCACTGTATTTTTGTAGTTCTTTACATATGACAAATATTGACTTCCATAGTTTATCCATCTTGACATTTGTCTTTCTACTTTACTTACTATAAATTTTTTTGCTGTGCATGACTAAGTTTTTATGTGGCCAAACTAAAGAATAATGTTTCTACGTTTCCTGGTCATTGGGTCAGAATTAGAACACTCCAAATATAGATGCCATTCTTAATTTTCTTCTGTGGTTCTACTTTCTATGCTTAAGTACTTGCCTGTTATTCTGGTCAAGAAAAGATTTTTTATTCATTTAATAACAATATGTGGCTTTAACGTAGAACTGATTTTCAGTCAGGAGACCCTTAAGACCTGATCTAAATGAAATGAACTTGTAAACCTTTAATAATATTATTTATTTAAAGAAAAAACACAAAAAGTACATATTAAAGCACAGCTTCATATAAATCGGGTTACGGTAGGTAAGACGGAAACAGGAGGAAGGTTATAAGCTCAAACTGATGAAACATCAAAAGCCATACCATCTGTCCTGAGAATTCTAAATAAATGGTCTGGAGAAGAAACAGAAATAACGACAGAGGACCTTTACCCGAGCTGTCTCCCCCTCTGCCAGGTCTGACAAGGGAGCCTGATTTGGAGCGAGGAAGCCTAAGTTCGAGTCTCACCTCCAGTTCGCCCAGAAATTCTCTGAGCTGCCCTGGCTTCTCTACAAGGAGACCTCCGTGAGGCAGCAAGAGTGAGGATGTGACTCATTTCCCCAACCGTGTTTTCTTTATGAGTTCTAAAGCATCACTGCCACCCAGGAGGGTTTCATAAATGTTTTTCCCAGCCCTTAAAAAAAACTCTGAAAAGCAGCATGAAAACCAACATTTATTCTTTTTATTTAAGATTTTTATTTTTATTTACTTATTTATCTTTAGAGGAGAGGGAAGGAGAGAGGGAGAGAAACATCAATGTACGGTTGCCTTGCATGGGTCCCCTGCTGGGATCTGGCCTGCAGGGAACCAGCCTGCAACCCCGGCATATGCCCTGAGTGGGAATCAAACCGCGATTGTCTGGTTCGCAGGCCTGCGCTCAATCCACTGAGCTACACCAGCCAGGGCCCAACATTCATTCTTAAGTATTATCTCTTGCTTCAATGCAAGACCTTTAACTGAACACAAATTAACAAGTAGTGTTCACCACCCATGCTTCTATTCCAAACAGAGTTTGCAAGCAGGTTAAACTGGATATTTGACCCTGCTGAAGCAGGTATTAAAAAAGTTCTGTAAGCTCTTCAGACTGCCTTCTACCTCTTCCAAAGGATAACAAGTCCAGTGAAAAAAAACTTCGGGCTGCCCTGTCTGGTGTGGCTCAGTGGATTGAGCACTGGCTTCTGAACCAAGGGGTCACTAGTTCAATTCCCAGTCAGGGCTCACGCCTGGGTTGCAGGTCATTTGGGTGCATGAAGGGCAACCACACACTGATGTTTCTCTCCCTCTCCTCCTCCTTCTCTTCCCCTCTCTCTAAACAGTAAATAATTAAAATCTATTGAAAAACACAACAACAGTGCCCCATACCAGAGCACCCTGGCCCGGAACCACTGCCTGGGCTGTGCCTGTGGGCTGCAGGCACTGAAACGGGCCACACAGCACAAAACGCCAACAACAGAACTTCAGGCTGACTGTACTCTCCACCTGGAAATCATTCTCCTGATGAAAGGTGAAGGTGTACTTGGGACCTACTAATAGTCATAAATGCTTATAAATAAACCTTCCTTGTGCCTGTATTTCTGACACCATGTAAGGCAACACATTTCGTCGGTGTTCAAGAGCTATGCACAAACCAGATTTGCATGGAACCTTTGTGCCCAGAGACTTACCCAGCTGGGTCAAGGCCCCAGCAACAAGCCTTACCATCATGGATAGCCTCCACCCACTGAGGCAACAGGAAGCAGGTGTCAACTTACCTGTTCAGAACCATCTTTTATTCTCCTAAACAACACCAACTCTCATTGACTCTCAGTGACTTCCTTATAATAGAGTTAGCACTCACA